TACGCTGACGACATCATTTGCTTGTTCGAATGTATGGAGGATGCACAAAGAGCACTTGACAGATTAGTAAGTTCTGTCGCTCTGTTCGGCGTGCGCTTTGCACCTTCAAATTGCAAAGTGGTGCTACAAGACTGGGTGTCACCGAGTTCTGTTTTGAAACTAGACGGTCAGGGATTAGCTGAAGTTGACTGCTTCTCGTACTTAGGTAGCTGCATTAGCAACGACGGTAGCACATCAAAGGAGATAACCGTGCAAATTTTTCAGGCTCGATCGGCGTACGCAGGACTTAAACACCTTTAGCGTAGACATGACGTTTCACTGAAGTTGAAAAGTCGCGCATACTGCGCCACTGTACGATCAGTTCTGCTTTATGGTTTTGAGACCTTGAATTTACGGATAGAAGACATCCGTCGTTTAGCAGTGTTCGACAACCGATGCTTACGTAGTCTGGCTCAAGTGAGATGCAGTGAGCGGGTTAGTAACTTAGAAGTAAGTCGTCGGGTGTTTGGGAATGCATCGAACAAGAACTCACTCTCATCGAATCCAGCTCAGTAGGCTCCGTTGGTTAGGACACGTTTTGCGTATGTCCGACGGTCGCCTACCGCAGCGCGCCTTATTTTCAGTGGCTGTTACAGGCTGGAGAAAACCACGTGGAGGCCAGCAAATGACGTGGAGACGAGGCATGAAAAAATGCACAGAGCGATTAGGTAGAGTAGGTGTCTCTCGTCTTCCGGCTTGGGGTCCAAAAGACTCCGAAACCGCATGGTTGGAGACACTGAAGGTCATGGCTGCGAACCGACATCAATGGCGATCATGCTGTCACTTCTTATCAGATCAGAATACTTGAAATTGTATGTATGCACACTTGGGCTGTGTACTGTGACCATAGAGGTTCGCTTTCTTTTCCCGTGCCTAAAAATAGGCCCAATCCCTGTCCTCCTTACACATTCTCACTTATCTTGTATGCATTATGAATTTGGCAGCGATCAGTTAAGTTCGCTTCATTGTATTACGCTGTACAATGATGATGATGATGACATATGAACTCACCTTTTGTTTACGATATGCTTTTTTTCTGTAAGATAATGATCAGATATAGGCTATTGTTGAGATTGTGCTCAATGCTTCATACCTCCTGCATCAGTAAGCTGTTTGGAAATATCAGTTCTGTTTCTTTCCTCCTGCATTTGTTAAATCTATCCTCAACATGAACAGTTTGAGCGTGGATGCAGAGTGCAGCAGTTATGTCTCTGTCACGCGTTCAATCCTGTTTCCGTGTCTCCTCAAGGTGCGTTATCGGTTCCCGATTCCACGACAAAATAACTTTTAAGCCGTTTTTTTATGTATTGATATATATTTTACACCAGTTTGAGAACAAGCATGATGCCGATGCCAAAAAATGATAATGAAGTTATGGAGGGGCACAGAAGATTAGATTAAAATGGGGAAAACAGAGAACACGGAGAACGAATGTATGAATGACTTATTTTTTTGTAGTTTCACCGAACACTTTTGAAGATATTTTTATGTTATGGGGAACAGGGTTTCACCAAACAAACCGCCCAGCAATCGCGCCACTGACTTCTATTATGAGCCAAATCTCCCAGCGTCTCTAGCCATCGGCAATCCTCATCCCTTGGGCCCCAGCCTGGAAGGTGGGCTGCACCAACCGAAGCGAGAGCTGGAGACAGCTTCTTCATGCCTCTACGCCATGTCATGGTCTGACCGCCGCGGAGCATCTTTCAGCTTTGCCCGGCACGTGCAAAGAGAGCACGACGAGGTAGTCGATGGAAAGGCATACGCAAAACGTGACGAAGCCATCGGAGGTGGTGTAGAACGATTTCTTCCGTTAGAGAACGACTAACCACAAACAACACACGACGACGAACCTCTTCATTGCTCACCCGATGTTCCCACCAGACATGAGCAATGCTTCGGAGACATCGGTGGACGAATAAGGAAAGTCGATGAACATCCTCTGCTCGGAGAGGCCAGGTCTCGCAGCCGTAAAGCAGAACACTACGGACCGCAGCGATGTACCCCTTCCCTTAAGGGACAGTCGGATGTTACGGCAGCGCCACAGGTGTCGCCGGTTGGCGAAAGCTGCTGTAGATTTCGCTATTTGTGATGTGAGCTCTTCCCCAACCTCAGATGTGATTAAGCTCCCGAGGTACTTAAAGCTCTCGATTACTTCTAACTGACCACCACAGAGGGTGAGTTCAGGCACAGGTTCCTGCCAGTCTTGAACCAGCACTTTGCACTTTGATGGTGCAAAGCACATATCATACCTGGATACCTCGATCGCCAAGTGGTGCAAAGCTTGTTGGACTGCCTGTGCATTGTCACCCAGCAAGGTGATGTCATCGGCATATTCTAAGTCAAGAATTCTGTTCCCTGGGAGGAGTTCGACTCCCCCGTCTGCTAGATCGGACAAAGCGTTCTGCAGAACATCCTCTATGGCGAAGTTAAAAAAGAATGCGGCAGCCTTGTTGAACTCCACTAGAGACGGCGTAGGGTGGCGGAAGCTGGCCATAGGCACTAACCCGACCGGATCTATGACGATACAACTCTTTGAGGATCGATACGTGGTTCTCTGGTGCTCCACTCATCAACAAACACCTCCATAGTGCGGTCCTATCAACAGAATCGAAGGCCGCGCGAATATCTAAGAACACAATTATTGTTGGTCTAAGGTAAGCATGACGGTGCTCTAGCAGCTTTAGGAGGATGAAGATTTGATCGTTGCAGCCACAACCGACACGAAACCCAGCCTGCTCCTCACGGGCATGTTCCTCGCGCGTTTTGTACAATCTTCGAACAATGACGGACGCTTTGACGCTATTGGGATCAGGCCTATATCCCTATGATTGGTACAGTCATTGCGCGGGCTCTTTTTGAAGATGGGGACAAAAATCCATTCCCCTCCACAAGGAGGGGACCTGCTCATTGTTCCAAACTTTGGAGAACAGGATGTGGAGTTCTCTAACAAGCTTTATTCCACCATCTTTAAGTAGAGCTGAGGGAAGGCCATTGGAGCCCGGCGCTTTGTGACGTCCCAAGGCTTGGATCTCCTTACGGATTTCCGCCTGAGAAGGTGGGTCTGTTGAAACAGACCATGGGACGTGTGCCGGAATACCTGTGTGAGAAACTGGTGCGGGTGGCCAGCTAAATTGTGCTTTGAAATGCTCCGCCCAGCGTGTAAGACGTCATTATTGATTGTGAATGGGCGAGTCGTCATCTTCGCAGATCGTCACGCTCACACCTAAGGCTTTCCCACCGGTGACCCGGATGAGATAGAACAGCTTACGGGACTTTCCCATGGCGGCAGCACGTTCCATTTCTGATGCGCGTTGAGACCACTGGACCTCGCGATCTCTGCGTAGACTTACGTTAATTTCACGTCTCATTACAAGCCGTGTTACGTTATACTCGCTGCCGGTCGGAAGTGACCAACGTGCGTCAAAAAGGTGCAGAGACTCAGCGGCAATCCAGGGTGTCACGATACGGCGTGTCAGATCACAACTAACTAAGCCAGCAGAATGCACAGCATTCTTGATAAGCGACCAGTGCTCACTGATGTTACCAGGTAGGGTTGGTTCCCGCTTTTCAGCTAGCGCGTTTTGAAAGACGACTAAGCATTCTGGTTGAGACAACTTATCACAGTCTGGCCGCCGCTGTGTTGTACTTTTAGGACGCCCACCGAAGCACATGGACAGCTTGGTGCAAACTAACGCGTGGTCGGATTCGAGGGTAGTGCTCCAGTACGATCGGCAGTCTTGAATGCAACCCTGTCATGTATGGCTTATAGCAATGTGGTCTATCTGCGTTTGTCGCTGACTCGAGGAGGGTGGACGCCAAGTGGCGTATCGGCATTTGGAGCGTCTGAAGTTCGTACTGGGGAGGAACAGGCGATGGTCAGAATATAAAGCCAGCAGCCGTTCCCCGTTTTCCGAGCGACAGGAATCGAGTCCGAAAGGACCATCCAGATGCGTCTCACTCGATGCCAGACAACCTACTCTAGCATTCAGATCTCCTGCTAAAATCACGAAATTAGCCCGATTTGCCTTACGCAAGAGGTCGTGTAGCTTTTGGTAGAAAGTATCTTTAACCGTATCTGGGCTACAGTTCGTAGGTGCGTACGCTGAGACGACAAACAAGTTGCGTGTTTCGGAGCGACGACTGTTTACTTTTCACGAGCCTCTAAGTCTCATTGCGCATAACCTACTATCGACTGGGACCCAATCCAGGAGTGCGGTTTCAGCTCCGTCACTGAGAGCCACACCAACGCCAGCAAGACCAGAAGCCGTAGCCTCAGGGTTCCCAGAGAGGCGTAAGTGAAACTTCGCGGATGGGTTTGACGGGGACGTCAATGGGATGGCGGAGCTAGAGTCTTGAATGCAAGTCTCTTGGATACAACACATTGATGGCTAGGGCCTCGAGCGTATGAGTTAAACTGGCCTGTTGTTCTATACGCATTAAGGTATGCACGTTAGATGTGGTTCGTTTGAATGGGCATCGAGGGCGAAGAAGGTCTTCAACTGATGGTGGAAGATTCGTTGAGACTTAGGCGTTATTCGAGGCAGGACGCGAGGGAAAAGTGACGGAATTTCCTTCGGACGCACAACTGGTAGTACGTAGTCTTAAGATCTTGATAATAATGGGAATGTTTGATGGGGCGAATGTGAGGAGGAGGAAAAGATGGAAAAAGAAGATGTGCACGGGTTGATGTAATTCGACAAGGGGGCCATGGCCGTATTCAGTGGCGGGCCACACTCACCACGTCACAGCGCTGTCATAAGATACATGTGGTGTTTTGTGTGAAGAACCTTTGCCAAGTGGTAAACCCACTACATCCTCGAGCACTGCCGCTGATCGTCCGTGACCGCTTATTCAGTGAGAATAAACCCACCTTATTCACAGTTAACCGCCAGTTGATATATTGAGCGTGCGCATCAACGGTTATAAATAAATGTCTTACCCTGTCGTACGTAAAACCCTCGTTAAATTTGCGCCCACAGACAACGTCTACATCCGCAAGATGGGGACGTCTGATTAATTGAGCCAAATAAAATAAAATCTTAAATCTGTTTATTGCATGTCTTTGAACAGTTATAAACAGGTTGGAATCTTTCTTTTTGACTTCGAAGAAGAGCAGCGACTTCGTGCCTGTCGGCAGTCAAGCGGTAAAGATAATCACATCGGTTCGTATTCCGCCAGCACCGGCTAACGCCAAGATTTCCATATGTACCCATACGGGCATTCGACTGAACACTCCTGAAGATCGGTTGTATCATTGAACATTAGATGGCTAAAAAAGGAATTAAAAGATTATAATCATTATTCGAAATTCAAATTGTGCAGTGTTTTCATTAAATTTCTGTGTAATCACTTTTGATTGCTCTTTCTTCACGCGAGATAGAAATTGGTTGGAATTGAATGTTCTATCTATATGCGGCTCCTATCATATACCGCATCACTTTTGTACGCTACTACTTCACTACTAATTCTTCATAAATCCCATTTGCTTCCTCATCCATCGGTCTCCGTCTCTGTTTTTTTTNTTTTTTTCAATCTATTTTCTGATAATTATTGGCTCTTCGATCATCTCAGAAGTGATTTCACTCTGCTGTTGATCTTAATGCCGGTGGGTTTTACACCCAGAATCCAATCACTATCAGCTTTTACGCCTTTATGAAACCTCCAAATCATTCATTATTTTTTAGCTACTTGATGCTGATGGAAATTTTACTACGATCACTTCCATTTACAGTCGCTTGTAAGCGCAGTCTAATTCGAACTGGAATGGAATACCATCTCGCTTCTCCCCATTGCACCCTTTTAGGCCTCAAATATCAAGTATATTGGCATGTATTCGCTTATTCTGTTCAGGTTCTATTCGTTTTTCTGCTTCATTTGAAGGTCGTTGAATACTCGTTGTAACATTTACCATACGATATCTGGGACAATGTTCTTTTTCAACTCAACTTTTTCTAATAGTGGAGTGTGACACGTGTTGTTCATCGTGAATGACCATCTTTCAGACTTCATCTTCATGCACGATCATCCCTAAACTCGGAAATCATCAGACTTTAGTTTCGCTCCCTTAGAGGTCATCAATACTGCTTAGTCAATGTCTCGTCCAGGATTCGAACTGTAATATTGTTCTTTGGTTAAGCATTCTCGTAGCGGTGTTGGGGGTGATTTTGGTCAGTTAGGTGGCACATGTTTTCAACTTTGTCATTGTTGTTTGCGAACTCGACCTCATTATTTGTGTATATCAGTCGGTATTGACTTGGCCGCACAGTCAAGGTTCTGGCTGGACGTATCCACGCATAAAACTACTACTAACCTGACTTGACTTGAAACAAACCAATTTGATAATAGTTAGTTTGATCGCTGTGTGAAGTTTGCCCATGACCATCGGAGTAACGGTTTTCGTTGGAGTTAAGAAAGCAGCAACCAATGTTTGTCTCTACAG